GGAGAAAGTGCTGTCGTCTTGCACAGATCTGAGCTTCAGCAAAGACAAGATGCTGAGGGAGTTCTTATTCACAGACGCCGAGATAACGTATGACTGTCTGAAGCTTTGCGAAATACTGTAGCAAAAATTGGGAGTTTCATGTAACTTTTGAAAAATGTAACTTAGCTTTGAAACTAAAACGCTGTACTTTTTGTTTTAGTGCAGCCATGTAAACCGGTACTTTTGTTTAAACCAGCATGATAGTTTCACAAAATGAAGAAATAGAAAAAGCAGAAAAACAAACTATGATTTTAACTTTTACAGTGTTTGTAAATAAACATCTGACGTTCTTTCATTTCTCACCATGTAGGCAGCTGGTTAAGTCAGGGGTCCTGACTGTGAGGGATGCAGGCAGCTGGTGGCTTTCAATTCCCAACTCTGGCAAATTCACCAAGTACTTTATACAAGGTGAGTGTCAAGACAAACAGTACTTTGCATTAACAACGTTGTGTGAATGTCTTCTTGATGTTTTGATAGCGTCTTGTTCATTGGAAGGACCGTTTGTTTCTCACCGTTCCTGTTAGGTCGCAAAGCGGTGCTCGGCATGGTGAAGAAGTCCAAATATAGCGAAGTCTTAAAGGCAGAGCTAGAAGAGCGGCGAACAACCTCTCATGTGAAATTCCACATGAAATACCACATACATGACATTGTTGGTGCGGAGCTGGTGGAGAGGTAACATTTGGTTGTTTACAGGTCGCCTGCTTTTGATTCTGGGAAGTGTTTCTTGTTAATTTAGGGGTTTGCAGTAGGTCAGAGTTCAGCCATCTGTCCAATTAAAAGGACAGGTACCTCATGCAGCTGCTCCGTCATTTATGATCCTCTCAGCGCAGTAATTGAGGGGTTTTGTTACCCACAGGCTAGAGGCTGACTCTCAGGTGTTTAAAAAATGTGCTTTTGGTTATTGTCAAAAACCTGCCAGCCTGATCCCGTTAATCAGGAAATCTTAAAGTTAAACACAGATATGATTTGAAAATAACAAACTATTGTTTCAATGAGCCATTTTTAACTTGTATCCAACAATCAATCTGACAGATGTGTTACTAATCTGGGGCCACTGGTGAATCCTGCAGTTTGTTTCATCTTAATTTACTGAATAATGCCTTTTTGTTTTATTTTCAGCATACCTACAACTTCAGGGACATTGTTACGATTTATGGTTTCCTGAACCACAGCAACAAGACTGACTGATCGGTGCTGTGTCGCAGCCAGGAAGAGACTAAAGATGTACAAAGTGTTTGTGTAAAGACTGAGTTATTAATGTACGATTTCAGATTTAGATTCTGTGCCAAAATGTATTATGAAACCTTGTGGGTTTATGAATCGTCAATTATGTTGACATGACCGTGTCAGGTTTGGTTTGTAATAAAAACTGATTTACTTTCCCTCATAAGTCATTACTTCTGTCCCCTCTGTGTGATGTTGCCCTATCAGAGCCTCAAACCTGCCCAGGTGTCATAAAACAATAGCCACATTCCACATGTCACCTGGGGTGTTTTGTCAATGCAAAAAATATACACAAATCCCACTGCTACTTTAAAGTACATCTATACACTAATCTAATCCACTAATTATTAAATTGTTGACACTGTTGATTCAACTATATTTATTACTAAGAAACTGAGTATTATCCTTGTTCTGTGGTCAAATACAAGTCCTAAAACAAGATCAGATGCACACCGTATTAGGATCCATGTTTACAATAATGTCAAAGTACTTATGAACAGTTTCTTTTTTACAAATCTCACATTTTTCTGTTTCATCAAGGGAAAACCGAGGTTGCATTGTCCAAACAAAGAGGCAGAGTAGAATCTGTTTTACTTGAATTTATTGGCTTTTTCAAAAAGTGACAATAGCTTTTATCCATAAAACTAAAGAGTCACAACATTGGCTTGAATTAAAGCACAGCTTGATGTCTGAATACAATACAGATGAGCAACATGTACTTAACCCCTGATCTAGTAGTTCAAATACATTTTGTAAATAGGCAAAAAATATAACTGTAGCAATTCTAATCTTAGTTTTCAGTATATGTTGCACATACATGCTATCAGCATTAATTACAAAAAGCTAGGCTTGTAGGGAGATTAAGGTAGCGTTAACTGTAGAGGTAATAAACAAAGGATATTCATAGTGTTAGTTTAACAATACAGTGAGTGAAGTGTAACTTCTGTGGAGAAAGATACAAAAAAGTCAAATCACATGATTATAACAAAAAGATGAGTACACTGTATACTACACCATAACCGACAGTAGCTTTGTTACTGTTATTAGCAGGCATTGATGCTCTTCTTAGTGACATTGCTTAGCCAGTAGTGATGCTATTAAAAATCAAAATGTGCTGCACAAAAAGGTTTCTGATAAATGCCCACAGAGCATTAAAGGTGCTCTTGTTCCCCGCCACCAAAACACCTAAACAGTTCTAATCCGATATCTAATAAAGTTTTCAGCTTTGCACTCCTGGGCAGCTACACAGTTGAAACACTTCTAGGGGAAACATTGCAAAAGAGGAAAGAAAATACCATTAAACTTGACTGGAGCCAAACACAAAATACTGGATCATTTTTTGATTTTTTAAAGGTTGTAATAGCACTGTTGGTGTCGGAAGATCTGTTCCCAGTCTGAGATTTTAGTATGTTTCAGGCGTCAGTCAATTCATTAGAAATGAATTAACACGAATCATGTGCTCGGACTGAAAACAGCTAACTAATTTGAGGCAAAACAAAAAAAAGAACTTCACAGATGGTTACTTCAAGTTCCTGGTTGACAGTGCGGTGACACATGACTGCCCTCACAAAGTGAAACTGAAAAACTGCTATAATGCCATTGATCATGGAGCTGAACAAACAGCGGCACACCACAGCGAATCGTCAGCTGGATTTTGAAGGTTTAAAGGTCTGAGACAAAAGAACAAAAAGGTTTTTTTTTCCTGCTAAAATACAGCACGTCTGCAAAATTGCATTTGGCAATGTTTCTTCCACTCAAAACAATAAAGACTGTAAACAAAAAATTAAAATAAAGGTTGACAACCAGTGGAAAAACAAATTGAAAACATTCCACGGTCCATTTTTTTTTTTTTTTTTACAAAACATCCAATCCATTTTAGAAGGCCTCAAGAATTTCATTTCACTTGTCTATACAGTATATGATGTTGGGCAAGAACTAGGGTCTATGATCTACCAAACCTCCTAAATCTGACCCTATGTCAAATTGTTTTCATGGAAACGGTTGGTATAACTGCTGTAGCTACACTTATGGAAGGAAAGAATCTGAAGTACATTGTTTTTGTGTGTGTGTGTGTGTGTGTGTGTGTGTACTGGTGTGTTTCTCCTGCGTCTTTAGCCACCCTCACCACTAGCGGTCATGTTCCCCTGTAACCGTTCCAGTGGAGGAAGTCTTAGAGGAGAGAGCACTTCTTCCCCTTCTTCTTGACGGGTGGAGGGCAGAGGACGGCCCGGATGGCCTCGTCGAACACAGTTTTAAGGCCGCGCTGAGTCAGGGCTGAGCACTCCAGGTACTTGACGGAACCTGAGGAAACCCATGAGTTTCTTTAAATATTTCAGCAGGGGGAAAAAAAAGGTCACAGAAAACTCAGTGAAGTTAATAAGTGTTGTTACCAATCTCTTTGGCCATCGCCAGTCCTTGGGGATATGTAATCGGGGAGAGTTTCTTCTCCTTCAGCTTCTCCATAGTGTCCTTGTCATCTCTCAGATCCAGCTTGGTACCCACCAGGATGATGGGAGTGTTGGGACAATGGTGTCTCACCTCAGGGTACCACTGCACAGAGACCACAAAGAGGTTATAACTTCCTACGCCTGTCTAGGTTATCTTGAACATGCAATTTTCGAGAATGACCGTGTACATTTGAACTGCAGTCTTACTTCAGCCAAAGCTGTAAACAAAACACTGACACACTCAATCATCAGCTATTATGGTAAATGGTGAATTTGTTAGCAACCGGTTACCTATTTACACATCCTGCAGACACAGAGGAACATTAGCTTTCATTTGGAGTTGTGTTTCTGTCCAATATTCACTTCTTTTTGGTCTCTACCAACTCCTGAGGGAAATATCTGGCTTGTTAGCTGCTAAATGCTCCATTCTGTTCACCAGATAGTGGCTAACTGCGTCTGTCTGTTGTTTAGTGCTGAGCAGGTAGCTTACAGGGGCTTTATCAGAGCTCGCTATGAGGGTGAACCAAAACAATGAGCTGAAAGACGTATGCTCCGTAGAGCAGAGGGGAACTGCAGAGGTTGATGATTTTTTTTTCATCACTAAACCTGCATTTTATTAGTAGTTCCACTTCCCCTCGTTCACTTATCCTCAGCCCCTGGTATTACACAACAGCATATGTCTGCCACTTGGAGAGCAGAGGGAAAGTTGGCCAAAGTGTAACTCTGCTACATTTACGAAGTGCATTATGGACGATTTCCACGTGTGGAGCGACCGTAGTTGTTGACCTCGCCCCCACCATCCTCGAAAAAAACAAGGCCACCTCGCCAACGGCGCCCCGATGTCACCCCGACCGAACCGTTCACCTTGGATTTCCAGAACACTTACGATGGCGGCTTGGAATTCCACGCCGAGGGAACAGGTCTCGACGCAGGCCAAGCTTCAACTAGAGCGAGACATGCGTAGGAACCGACTACTGAGACATCACATCACAGCGACTCCGCTTCCCATACAAGTAGTCATGTGATCCCATTTAAACACTGATTTTAGCTGCAGCTGTTAACGTGAAAAAGGCCTTCAACTTCGGCTTTATCCATGCTCTATTCGAGTTACCTGGCTTAGCATTGGTGCAGCAGGAAAACTGGAGTCAAAAAATCCAGTTACCAAAAGGCTCTTAACCTTTTTTAATCCCATCTATGAGCACGAGATACTGGTGATTCTAATGCAGACAGAAGTAAAGGGTTGAAAGTAAGTGTGGAGATAATTATATATGCCTTGTTGTATATGGTCAGCAGTTACACGTTCTAGTCCAGAGGGAGTATGGGAAATAAATTGATTGCGGCTCTTTCTACGGCCATAGCTAGA